CAGGAACCTCTCTGGGTCCATCAGGCGCCTGGGGCGGAACCATCTATGCGGTTCCGACTCCCTGCGGCGGGGGGGAGCGGTCCGGAAGTCCATCCTAAGGAGTGAATGATCTGACCATGACAGGGGCTCTATAACTACCTCCCCCATTTCCAGATCGTTCTGCCACTGGCCAGAGACAAAAATTAGATCCAGTGTGTGTCCTCCCGTGTGTCCTCCCGTGTGTCTTCCTCCCGTTTTTGGGGTGGAGGTTGCCGTTTGGATTGCTCTGGCCTCTGCTCGGCTTCATGTGAGGGAGGTTTCTTGTAGCAGGCGAGCTGAATGTCTAGTCTTACCACTGTATGGTACCACTCTTGCAGCTGATCAGGTACTGCTCGATAGATGCATGCCTGAGAGAGGTGATCGTCCAACCCTTCTTTGAAGTGGTGGACTAGGGACTGCTCAGGCCACCTCTCTATGTGACCAACTGTCTTGCAAAACCTTCATACATACCCCAATGCAGGCCTGCAGGCCAGTTTTATCTTGCGGATTTGTTCTGCTTTGAGGGCAATGGATGGGTCCTCGAACCTTGTTCTCAGTACTAGGAGGAAGAGGTGGGGGTCTTCCAATTTGGGGGCTTGGATATAAATTATTCAGCCATTCAGATGCCTCTCCCTCTAAGCTGGATGCAATCACATCGACCATAGCAGCTGGGTCCGGGTAGAGTTAGGTACAGCGGTTCAAATGAGAGCGCACTTGGTTGAGAAAAAAAATCAGTTTCTCTGGGCCTCCATTGAAGGTTGTTCTAAAAGGTGGAGTAATCAATGGCTGCTGGGGCCCCCACTGTGGCTATTGCACCCCCAGTTGCTGCTAGGCCCCCACCCTGGCTGCTGCTGCATTCCTAGGGGTTATACGTTCAGGGGCTGTTGCCATTCCCCCTGCTGTTGGTCTGACGGGAGCTGTGGCATCCTCAATTGCTGTAGGGCCCCCTGTGGCCTCGGAGGGGGTTGTTGCTGGATCTCCATCGTCTGCAGGCCCCTCAGTGGTTGCTGTATGTTAGGGGGCGGCGACCATCTCCCTTGCTGTGGCTGTCCTCCCACCAGTTGCTGGTCTTCTGACCTCTGCATCACCCCCTGTTGTTGCAAGGCCTCTATTAGCTGCTGCAGGCTCAGAGATTGCTGATCTCCCACCTGCAGAGGCTGCCAAATTCCTCATTGCTCCAGGGCCCCCAGATTGGGTGATCAATATGCACACCGGTCTGGGGATTGGTTGTCCCAGCAACTGCCCAGGCCCTCACATTGTTGATGGCGGTTGGGGCTTCTGATGGGGCGGGAACTGGAGCTGTCTCTCTCTGTGGGGCTGGAGGCCCTGGTAGGGGGCTTCAGGGACAGAAGGACTACCTGATCTGCGAAGGAGGGGCTGGGTGATCCTATCGGCAGGGTTGATGGCTGCCTCATTGATCATCCTGATCGCTGGCATATGGGGAATGGGAAGGTTGTTCTCTGCTTCTCATTTCTAGCCCCTCAAATTTTTCCACCAGCTTCTCCAGTGACTATTAGCTGCAGACAGGTATTTCCACTTATCCGAATCCTCAGTGGCAGACAACCTGGTGGCTCTCCCCATCTGGGAGCTTGAAAAAGTTCCTTCTCCACCGGCATGCTGGCTGTCGCTCCCCCCCCCCGGGGTAGCAGCTACTGCCGGGGTACTGGCTTCAGGTATTTTCTCTTGGTCCATGATGATATCTTCCCCAAATCTTTGTCACCTTATCCCTCAATTCTAGGAACAGCGACTGGGGTTCAGCACCCCTATATAGCTAGGAAAGTTGGAGATTTTGGCTTAATGTCATGGTTCCGACAGATGAAACTCTTCAAAGAACTTTGAGGCATTGTTTACCTTAAAGAATTTTTATTTGAGTGGCATAGCATCGGCACATACATAAGCGAAGCCAAAATCTGAATTCCCCTCCCTTTAGCACAGTGGTTCCTAACCTGTGGGTCGGGACCCCATTTGGGGGGTTGCCAAGCAAGGCTGTCCGCCATTTTTTTGTCCGCCATTTTTTTTGTCCGCCATTTTTCCCCCCTTTTCCGGCGGGTGCCTTACCTCCCTTGGGCTGGGCCAGCTGGTGGTCGGCCTGCTCCGTCTCTGCCACTTGCCAGCTACGCCTCAGCCGGTGCAGGGGGCGGAACCACGCATGCGCGGCGCTCCCGGGCAGGGAAAGTCCTCGACTTACGACCGGTTGGGTAGTCCTCAACTTACGACCGGTTTAGTCCTCAACTTATGACCGGTTTAGTCCTCGACTTACGATTGGTTTAGTCCTCGACTTACGATCGGTTTAGTCCTCGACTTACGACCGGTTGGGGTCACAGCATTAAAAAGGTTGAGAACCACTGCTTTAGCACATAGTATCAAACACAATTCCCTCCTCTAATTAACAGTCATAAATCACATTCTTCAATTAGTTTGAAATGCAGGCTTTCCCTCCAGTCCTCCAACCCACCATTTGTTATCATCTCTTATTTCAAAAGCTCTGAGTTCACACACTATTACAATATTGTTATGTCTAACTAACTCCCATCACATTCCTCCTCCTCCCCCCAGTATCATCTAATTCTAAGACTAAAGCATAAGAAAGAAAAAGGCTGCATCTCCATTTGTTGTCAAAGCAAGAACATCTGATGTTAGCAGCGTTGACACTGAGCAATATAAAACACATTCAATTACATTTTATTTGCTTATTTATAAAACTGATTTTTTCCACTGGCCTTCGAATATTTGCAATATGTCGAATGTGGCCCTCAGACTGAAAAGTTTGGAGATTCCTTAGTTACAGAATCCTCAAGAAATTCTGAAACACGGCTCAACTGTAGAAGGGACAGCTAGCAACTATGACAAAAGTAAGATAGTTCCCCCTTTTTAAAGTCTTGTGAAATGTTTGGTCCACATTTCATGTATTCTTTGAGGATTTCTATACCTTTTCAGCAGTAAAGAAGACAGCCAATTTAATTCCTTTATTTATTTATTCCTTTATTTTCTTTCTTTAAAAACCTCACTGGAGGTTTTTAAGAAGAGATTGGACAGCCTTTTCTCTGGAATATTTTAGGGTCTCCTGCTTAAGCAGTGTATTGGATTAGAAGACCTCTAAGGTCCCTTCAAACTGTTATTCTGTAATTCTATATTGCATTGAGTCTAGATTTTCTTAGTTGAACTTCATTTTTACTAGTAAGAATTATTTTATGACAACCTTGTTATAACAAGTTTTTATTGGTTTTCCAGTTTTACATTTGAGTATTTGGAAAGCAGCGTGGTAATTGGGTAGTCAATAGTACAATAACAAAATCTTTAGTACATATCTCAGGTTACATCATCAAAAAATTCCTTCTCTATTTCCCTTAACATTTGCTATATCATATTTAAGCTAGTAAATTTCTAATTATAACAAGCTCAGTTAAAACATTTATCATTATATTTTTGCTTATTCATATCCATATCCTGTATTTAAATTTTACCGGATTTTTAATTTTTAATCACAATATTCCAATTTAACCTTTAATATCCATAATATTTAAATTTCAGGTAACTCAAATTTCCTTTATTTCACTATAATATTTAATATTTAAAATATACCTATTACTTACTTGAATATATTCTTATTTTATTTCATAAACATTTTCTATTTCTCATCCTAGTACATCACTACTTACCAATGGAGTATCCTTCATTATCTCAAATCCATCGTCTGTGTTATCTGGGCTAAACAATAATTCGAAGCTATTCCCTAATAATTAATTTTCATTTCCCTTATAAATCTAAATCCTCAATATTAGGCAACCTTGTACTACTGAGTTATCACATTCTTTTTGACACACATATCAAGGGGATAAAGAGGTTTAATTACATTGATAGATGCCAAACTATAATAAAACCATAAAGGAGACATTAATCAGAAAAGGGAAGAAATTGCTAAGAAATTCTACGAAATTAGAATTGCTATTACAATCCTTTACATTTAAAATTACAATTAAGAAACCTGAATAGAGTGGGTCAAATCAACATGATGAATTAGATTTCAATAAATTTAGGCATGTAGAACATTTCCTGGGAAAAAAATGTTTCTGCCATAAGCACAAATTTTTGACTCTCTCCTAGTGAGGAAGCTTGCAAGGACCTAAGACTGGTGCTGCAGGTGATGAGCTCAGTGGTGACCCTTTGCTGTGGTCTTCTCTTGGAACTGGTGTTGTCTTCTTGACACTTGGCAGGGATGTTCCCTGCCTGAAAGAGGAGGATCTTCTCCATTTAAGATCTGCCTTTGCTCTAATTGATATCAGTAACTGAACAAAAGTATGGGAACATCTTTGTCCTGACTGATCCCAGTTGATCTCTGTTCCAAGAAATTGTAGTGGTAATTTTTTAAAAAAGTTTTTCCCTTTTAAGTAAAACACAGAATAAAATAACAATTGAAACAATGATACACTACTCTTAATATAAGGGGTGTTTGTTGCTAATGAATAAAAATACTCTGCCTATATTTAAAATGGCAGATGTGAATTTATTTTAAATCAGTTTTATATGCATCCAGGAAAAGAAGTGTTTTATTATCATCTTAAATTCCAAGTAGCTGAGCCTAGTAGAGAGCCAGATGAGGCTTTTAAGTATGATGTGGCTATTCAAATACCTGCTAGAACCAAATGATGCTGCTCTAATACATTCTTTTTCACTTGTACTTTTACCGCTTTGGATGTCATGGGATCTGATAAGTTAAGCACATGAAAGGTGAATGTTACCTATCCTTGGCTGGATTCAGATTTCATCCAATCAATATAGAGTTTCCTGCTTGAGCTCCAAAATCCCTTCCAATTCTATTATTCTGTTAATCGGCTTAATGTAAGGATTTATATATTTTGTATGGTGTAGGATTCAGTACTGAATATTACACTAAAGTTCTGATAAAATGTCAACACTTACCAAAATGGAGCATGATCATTAGATATTAACATAAACACAAACATTCAACTTTTTTTTCTCACCTGAGGGTATAAAGACAATGTTTATTCCAAAGATGGTATGAGTCAGCCAGGTATATAGACCATAGAATCCAGCCATTTTGAGAGATGCATCAAATACCCCTCTGGAAGAACATAAAAGTCAGTAAAAATGCTGCATCAGACTGCAAGATTAATGTTTACTTAGATAATGATGATAAATACGTACTTATCAGTTCCTTCAAATTAAAAGCTATTTGCTATAAATTTGCTTAAGAATAAAAATAAATCCATTGTCAGAGAAAAAAAGAACACAAAAATTTTCTTTTTTTGTTAAAGAACTGTTTATGTCTTTTTCTTTTTGATAATGTATGCATCAACATTACTATTTCTTTTGTGTTTTGCTCTTTTTTCTTTTTTCTTTGGTATTCTTAATTGTAAAGCAATACATTTTTTAAAAAAGGATAAAAATAAATCCAAAATTTAAGGACTCACGTTTTTAATGTCTTTTAGTTCCTCAATAGTAGAAACTTTTACATAGAAATAATGAATAAACTAATACTTAAACTACCTAATCCAAAAGAAACCAAGACAGTGTTTGCACCTTGGCATAAATATTGTGAAAAATAAAAATTAAACAATTTAAAAATCAGAAATGGAACAGCACATCCTTTTTTAGTACTGTGATAATTACCTGGTGTTTTCCCTCTTTGGAATATAATCTTTTCAATAAATTTTAATCACAAATTTAAACTTTTAAAAGTTTTCAACTACAGCAAATAATTTGGTAATCGGTATTGCAATAAATAAGACATTTATTTACATAGTGCTCCCTTTTCTATCAATTGTAATAATGTTTAACTTGTATGTTTGTTGTAAATATTTTTAAAAAATAATAAGAAGCACTGTGACCACTCTAATTTGTGGAAAGATCTTGCCTCACATTTGCTGTATTCAGTTATTTCCTAGTAAAAGTACCTTTTCTCTAATCCTATGGAGTGGTTTTCTTTCCTAGGGATTGAACGGAGGCAGCCCTGACATTAGGCAAGATCTGCTTTAACGGTCAGCCTGGAGACATCAGTCTACCGTGGAGACTGAGCATCAAATGTCAAGCCCTGGGAGCGAGCTGGAGGACCTTGGAGTTGCAGCAGGCTCCCCCCCTCAACTGCACCATGCTGGAGACGAGGCTGAATGGCAAGGGGAGCTGAACCACAACAAGAAACATGTCAGATGGTCACTGGGCATGGGGAAGAGGGAAGACCCCCCTCTTGAGGAAACCCCGGAGGAGGCCATGCTAAACCAAGCCCTATTCCTGATACAAGAGGTGATGGAGAGTCGAAGAACCCAGGAAACCCTCGCACAAATGACTACCCAGGCTTCTTGGGTCACCATGAACCAAACCGTAGACTGAGCTACTACAGTGGGAGCCATGCCTATCCCACCTGGACAAATGCCAGTGCAAGCAGTGCTACCAGCAGCAGTAGCTGCTGCACAAGTCCCTCCACCTGCAGGGGTTGCTCCTCAGAGACACTGGGCTTCAAAGGCTCCAGCCTTGGGGGTGATATATGAGAGAGATTCTGAGCAATTGGGATTCTTCCTGGCGCAAGTTTGGAACTATATTCAGGAGTATGGGACTGAAGTGGAGATGGAGACAGCCCAAGTAAGATGCGTGACCAAGGTGCTGGAGGGTACAGCTGCCGAATGGATGATTTTCCTCTACAATGATAATGATAATGCTCCCCAGTTGTGGGACTACAGCCATTTTATGGCAACTGCCAACAGTTCAAGGACCCAGAACGCAGGGACCTGTATGAAGACCATTACCCAAGTGTGGAGGTCAGTGGCCACGTACATCCAAGAGTTTTGAGGGTTGATGGGCCAGCTAGCCACATGGCCTGAAGAGATCCTGATCAAGTGCTTTAAGGATGGCCTCAACGATGAAGTCTACCACATCTGCATCTCACAGCCCCCCTACAGCACTGGTATGTGTTGGCAGATTAAGTGGAGATTGATTTCGCCAGAGGTAGCCATGGTTGGAGCAAGTCTTCACCCCCACCCATACTTGCAAAGAAGCCCTAAAAGCTGCAAAAGGGGGTCCAGCACCTAGGTTGTGGTCCACAGCAAGTTTCAAGTCCGGGAAGGAGGGGCACCAGGCTGCACAATGCCGCTCCACCAAACCCAGCCTGAAGCCTGGAACCATCAGTGGAAGGAAGGCTGAGAAGCCTCCACCACAATTCAGCGAAACAGCATTAGAGGGAGTAGAGGTCCTTGAATTTGCCCCTCCTGGCGATGGGGGGAGGCTGGGAACTCCAACCTCTCGAGAGGAGAGTGACGCCGATTCTGATGACGACCCCCTGGTAAGTCAACATGTAATCCCTATGATCATCCCAGTGAGTTAGTGGTGCCCTCATGAGGCACCTAGGGGACTATGTTGGTCATATTGTACTCAGGATGCACGAGGTGTGTAGTCAGTCCAGAGGTGGTGAAAAAATTGGCACTGAGGCTAAGGAGACTTAAGATCCCTATAGCTTTTTGCCAACTAAATGGATTGGTGGCAGGGGGAGGCCCAGCCCATTTCGTGACTAAGTGGTGGAAATGGGGATGGGGAACCACACAGAGACTTTGAGTTTTATAATGGTGCTCGGAATGGAGAAATGTTAAGTCTTCTTGGACTTACATGGCTTCATAAGTGGAACCCTCATGTGAATTAGAGGAGGCTCCTAAAAATCAGACCCAAACTCGGGGGGAAAAGGAAGGCGACTCCAACCCCTAAGGAACAAAACGCCATGGTAAAGAGGAAATTGGATGCTGCTGTGCAGGAGTGCCCAAAAGGGGAGGAAAAGATCCTAAAGGAATATTGGGACTTAAGGGAGGCGTTCAGTGAATGGGGCTCCAATGCACTGCCATCACATCACCCCACAGACTGCAGCATAGAAGCTGGAGCAAAACTCCCCAAGCCTAAGATCTACTCAATGGCCCCATGTGAGCTAAATGCGCTTTGCCCCTTTATTAACAAGAATTTGAAACATGGATTTATCCAACCAGCTAGACCACGAGTGGCAGCCCCAGTGTTGTTCCAGGAGAAGGATGGGACTCTTTGCCTCTGTGTGGATTATAAGGGGTTCAACACTGTGAGTATGGACAATGTTTATCCTCTGCCTCTGATGAAAGACATGCTAGCGCACTTGGCTAAAGGAAGGATTTTTTTTCCAAACTAGATCTAAGAGAAGCGTATTACAGGGTCCACATCAAGGCAGGCGATGAATGGAAAACTGCCTTCAACTGCTCTTTGGGTTGTTTCCAGTTCTGAGTGCTCCTCTTTGGGTTACAGAAGGCTCCTGCTGTTTTCATGCAGTTGATCAATGAAGTGCTGCATCAACATCTGTACAAAGGGGTTTTGGTGTACTTAGATGATATTTTGATATACACCGAAACTATGGAGGAAAACGTAAAACTAATGCATGCAGTTCTGAAAAAACTCAGGGCAGCTAAGCTATATGCTAAACTGTCCAAGTGTGAATTCCACCAAGATGAAATTGACTATTTGGGGTATTGCATTTCCCATGAAGGGATAGAGATGGATCCTGAAAAGGTGCGGGCTGTGTTAAAATAGGTATCCCCTGCATTAGGAAGCAATTACAGAGTTTCCTGGGTTTTGCCAACTTCTATTGGCAGTTTATTCCCTCCTTTGCTAAGATTGCATTGCCCATTACTAAATTTTTGAAGACTAAGGGTCAAACTAAGCCTAAACCCAGCCAACCTCTTGGCCAATGGAATGCCAAGCAGTATTCAAAAAGCTCAATCAGTTGTTTGCTGCTGAGCCCGTACTCAAACACCTTGACATTAATGCCCTATTTGTTATCCACCAGTGATGTGGCTGTAGGAGTGGTGTCGCTGCAGAAGAATGTGCAGGGGCCCTTCAGCCTTGTATCTGCAAAAAACTGATAGTCTGGTGATCAGTCTGGGAGAAGGAAGTGTTTGCAGTGTGATGGGCACTACTAACTTGGAGGCAGTTCCTAGAGGGGGCCAAACAACCTTTTGAGGTGTGGACTGATCATAAAAACCTTGAGGCCTTGAAAGCCCTGAGAAAGCTATCGCCCAAACAAGTTCATTGGGCACAATACTTTAACCGATTTAATTTCTCCTTGCGATATATCCCAGGGGAAAAAAATTTCATGGTTGATGCTGTTGATATAACAATACTAGACCTAAGGTAATCTGACCTGTTATTCCTTTTAAGCAGCTAGCTGCTCCAGTGACTACCAGGGCCCAGGGAAAACCAGAGCCTGAACTGCCAAGTAAACTGTGTGAAGAGCTAAAGGGAGCATTGAAAACCGATGAGTGGTTTCTATCCCATACAAATGATTGTACTATTCGTGATGGTCTAACATGGGTTGGGGCCAAACTGTATGTGCCTTCTAGCTTGAGGAATACCATCCTACAATGTGCTCATAATTCAAAAACTGCTGGACACTTTAGGTATGTCAGTTTGTCAAAACACTGCACGTGGTTAAGCACCAATTTTGGTGGCCATCTTTGAAGAAAGACATTTTTGCTAGCTGTCCCATCTGTGCAGTGGCGAAAGGATGTCGGGGAAGCCCACTGGATTTCTGCAGAGTATGGCTAGTCCCAGGGCTCAATGGAAAGAGATACCAGTGGATTTTATAGTGGAATTACCTGAGAGTGGGGGGAATACTGTTATTTGGATTGTTATTGATCTTTTCTCAAAACAAGTACGTTTTGTCCCTTGTCTTAAAATTCTATCTGCTAAAGTACTTGCTAGGCAGTGTATCCAACATGTGTATAGATTACAAGGGGTCCCAGACAACATCATTTCAGATAGAAGGGTACAATTTACTTTCCAGTTTTGGTGGGAATTTCTTAAATTGTTAGGATTAAGCTCCTCCCACCATCCTCAAACTAATGGGGCATGTGAGAGAGCCAACTCAGTTCTGGAACAGTACCTCAGTTGCTACATTAATTACCAGCAGGATAATTGAGCTGAGCTTCTACTATTTGCAGAGTGGCATACAATAATTCTGTACTTAGTAGTACTGGGTTCACTCCATTTAAGGTGGCCTCTGGTCAGGACTTTGTGGCTATGCCAGAGCTGCCTCAAGAAAAACCTCAAATACCCTCCTTAGCT